GAAGTCTGAAACTATCATTTATCTTGCTCTGAGTAGCACTGAGGTCTGTGGAAATTCCCATATAAGGTAGTTTTCATGTTTATTTCCTCAAGCAGACATTACAGCTCTCCATCTGAAAAAGGCATTGGAAGAAAAGGCTCTTGGGCAACTACATCCATATATACATTAAAGGTTGTGGTTTCCATTCTTCATGGTTAAATTTGCCCAGACACATCCCCCTGCCCAAATATGGTTCTGCATCTAGCAGTCAACACCACAGAGTCTTCCTGTGGTCATTCCTGGTGGTGGTGATAAAGGTCAGCATGACCTCTGCTCTCCACAAATAGCCCTTCCGGCAGTAACGTCCTTCCATGACATGCTCACATTCTTTCCTTTCAAGTACAGTTCTGCCTTTTATGTGCGGTACTTTTCTTCCATAGAGCTTTCCATCTCAGGTGAGGTTGCTCTCCTGCACCTCCATAATTCCTCCCAGTGGCTTCAAAGCAGGGCTTCTACCTTTGTGTTGTTTTGAAGATGAGTCTCTCTAGCTTTTTCTTAGAGCTATGCTGTAGCCACTAGCCACATGCAGCAACTTGAAAATATGGCTAGTCCGAATTGAGATGTGCTTTAAGTATAAAATACACACTGGATTATTTTGGTAATTTTAAAATATGGATTATATGATTTATATATAGGATGGACATGATAATAGCTTGACATATTGAGTTAAATAAATATATTACTAAAATTAATTTTCTGTTTCTTTTTTCATTTTCCACATGGTTACTAGAAAATCTTAAACTACACATGGGACTCATTACATTTCTATTGAATAACACCATTCTAGATAAGCCTCATTTACAGAACAAAGAAATGTAGCCCAGTAAGCACTTGGAAGAGTAGCCACTGAAAACTCAGGCAGATATTGTTCACACTGAGGGGAAAGGAATCCTGGAATCCTTTCATTTCCAAGCATACAGCCAGGGCTGAGAGGCTCCCTTGACCAGAATTCCGGCTCTATCTCTTAGAAGCCAGGCAAGTTTCTTTACCTGCAGGTCAAATTCTGCATCTATAATGAGGGCAAAATAAAACTCCTTCACAGGCTGGTAAGAACTGAAAACACAAGGAAAGCATTTTAGCCATCAGCAAATGCAGAAGGTTTTAGCCTACATTCTCAATAAAAGTTACTTCCCTTTCTGTGGATATGTTAGCAGCTGACTTAGTCATCCTGGGGTTAGCCATGGCACTAACTTGTATTCCAAGCCTTGTTTTTCCTTCTTGTCCACTCTAATCACTTCCACAGACTTCACTCTTATAGGGCAGTGGTGTGTGATGAGCTTTCTAAGCAAAACCTACCCTCTTCCCCAAAATTATATTATTTATTTTCACCATTTGTCTACCATATCTGTCCCATGTCTTCTCTGCAGGTCCATGCATTATTAAGTTATTAAAATTAATTTCCAAATTCTGGCTGCTGCTCATTTTCTCCTTAGGGCTGTTACCAATAGCTCACTTCTAGTGCCTAAATATAAATGCAACCTTGTTATAATTCTAATCTTGTGTACACTCACTCTGCTGAGATGCCTGGATACACCCTTCATTTCCTACTAGGGTCGCATCAGATATGTAGTGACTGAAGAGCCTTATTAAAAGTCTTAGAAATAAGTAAAACAAAACAATGTTGACTTTTAATTATTGACCAGGCCAATCAGGATTACAGGAATGAAAAGTACCTTCTTTGACTAAGAAATCACATCTGACTTGACAGTCTGGTGTTTATTTCTGGTTGTTTTTTCTATGGAAAATTCACTTTGATGCTATTTTGTCATTCCCCACCCAACCTTTCCTAAACACTTACCACTCTGTAATGTAAGTGCTAATCGCTGAACGTCTGGTTTACATTAAAGTTTACTGTAAGTTGATGCAATTTAGCCTCTGGACCTGTGTGTCCCTTTCCACAAGGAAGACAGCAACTTCAGGTCCAGGTGGGGCTGAGGAATGGGGAAGAAGGACTAACTCCTGCCAGACTTCCTCCTTGGTGCCCCTGTATAGCAGATGGGGAATGGTAACAGAGGCAGAGGGTGTAACAGAGAGAATTAATGAGAAAGAGAAAAGAGAGGCCGGGTGCAGTGGCTCACGCCTGTACTCCTAGCACTCTGGGAGGCCGAGGCAGGTGGATTGCTTGAGGTCAGGAGTTTGAAACTAGCATGAGCAAGAGCGAGACCCCTGTCTCTACTGTAAATAGAAAGAAATTAATTGGCCAACTAATATATATAGAAAAAATTAGCCGGGCATGGTGGCACATGCCTGTAGTCCCAGCTACTCGGGAGGCTGAGGCAAGAGGATCACTTGAGCCCAGGAGTTTGAGGTTGCTGTGAGCTAGGCTGACGCCATGGCACTCACTCTTTGTTGCCCAGGCTCTGTCTCAAAAAAAAAAAAAAGAAAGAAAGAGAAAAGAGAAAGGAAAGGTAGAAGAAGGGGAGATGATTTAAGAAAGAAAAAAAAAACAAAGGGCCCAGGCATGGTGGCTTACGCCTGTAATCCTAGCACTCTGGGAGGCTGAGGCAAGAGGATCCTTCTGCCTCAGCCTCCTGAGTAGCTGGGACTACAGGTGCATGCAATCATGCCCAGCTAATTTTTCTATTTTTGGTAGATACAGGGTCTTGCTCTTGCTCAGGCTGGTCTCAAACTCCTGGTCTCAAGCAAAACTCCTTGCCTCGGCCTCCCAAAGTGCTAGGATTACAGGCATGAGCCAATGCATTGAGCCAGAAGATTTAAACCCAAAACTGGTAGGTTTTCTATACTATACCACTGTATTTCAAATATAAATAAGCTCAAAAGATAAAGAAAAAAGTAAAAAAAGTATATTCTCCTTACAGGTCTGAAACTGTCAAATAAGTGACAAGACCATGAACACTTGAACCTAAACAAGTAGGTGGTCTAAATGCCTTCCCAGGCTGCAAATAAACTTTATTTTAGCATAGTTTTGAAGCCCTATAAATACATTGTTAAGGGAATATCTGCTTCTTTTCACAAAAGAAAATCTGGTAAAAGTTATTTTTCAATTTTTCATATTCTATATATCCTATCCAAAACTATCACCTGGGAGCCATTTCCCCCAACAATACCACCATATATTTGTAGCAATGTTTGAGGTATAAAATACTTTCCCACACACCACCTCACTGAATTCAATCAACCACTCATGCTGTAGCTATTCTGACAAACTATGCCCCAGCAGTGACAGCCTGATTCAGAACTAAAACAAAACACTGCTCCTTTATACATCTTTCTTCTGAAAACAAACAGATCAGTCAACATATTGCTAAGAAATTTTGAATAAGACCTAATTCACACTCACTGTAAGACCTCACATTAAAAAAATAAAAACACTTTTTAAAGTTCCCTTAATCAATGGATTTTATTGCAGGTAAGATGGAAAGGCAAGGGAGGATTGCGAACAGAGAAGTAACACCGACTTGCAAACCTATGCTCAAGCTGTCGCCAACTCTGCCTAAAACAACACAATATCCTTTCCATCATTTGTCAAATCCTTCAAAGCCCAGCTCAAAAGCCGCAAACTCATTGGTGCCATCTCTAAGAATTACAGGTCGCCTCTCCTTTTGGTTATCCTCAAAAACTTGACACCACTTATAACAGTCTGATGTTTGGTTATTTTGTGCATTTGTTTTTACACCGCCAAGTGTCTATGTTCATCCAGGATATGTTACTCATTTTTCATTCTATCAGTTGCGCACAGTGTCTTGCTGTTTGCAAACTAAAGTATGTATCCTTTTTAATCAATTGAAAGACCTAATTAAAGTGCTCATCCTCTTTCTAACTCTCATCCCTGAAAAAAATTCTGTTCTCCTGACCACTATAACTATTTCCTCCTATGGAAAATTAACAAATATGTGGAAATTAAACAATATGCTCCTTAACAACTACTGGGTCAAAGAAATTAAACGGGAAATTTAAAAATATCTCAAGACAAATGAAACTAGAAACACAACATTCCAAGACTATGGGATACAACAAAAGCAGTTCTAACAGGGAATTTTATAGCAATAAACACCTACACCAAAAAAGAAGAAAGATCTCAAATAAACAACCTAACATTACATCTCAAGGAACTAGAAAAAGAAGAACATTCTAGGCCCAGTGTTAGCAGAAGGAAGGAAATACAAACATCAGAGCAAAAATAAATGACACAGAGACTACAAAAACAATAGAAACTAAGAGTCAACAGGTATAAAATTACAATTAGGAGGAATAAGTTCTTGTGTTCTCTGGCACAGCAAGGTAGTTACAGTTAATAATAATGTATTGTGTATTTCCAAATAGCTAAAAGAGAAAATTTTAAATGTCCTCACCACAAAAGAAATGATATTTGAGCTCATAAGTATGCTAAATACCCTGATTTGATCATTCTGTAATGTATACATGAATTAAAACATCACATTGTGCCCCATAAATATATATATAATTGTGTTAATTAAAAATAAAGCTTTTTAAAAAATGGCCTAATTTTTTTTTTTAACAGAGCTATACAGGTTAATGAATAACAGTAACTCCTCAATTAGCTGTCATCTTTTTTTTTTTCCCTACCACGCAGGACAAAAGTTCACCTAAACATATTGTTAAATAGTACATTTTTCCCCAAGACCCTAGGCAGAATTCATATTTTAAAAATTAAACACAAATGCCAAAAAACATTACTAAAGTCTTTTACAGTATAAGCCTCTGCAGGACGTAATCTTATGATATTAAACATTATCTATTGCTGTTTTTATTTTTTTTTTCTTTGTAAACATACGGCGTATCTTCCCCTATATCTTCCCACAATCATCACCTTTGCAGCAGGGAGAAAAATTTTAATTAGTATGGCTAAAGGTTACTACAACTTACCTAACACCCTTACTTCATAAAGACTTCAGACAAATATTTCTTATATTTGCTTTTAAATAACTGAGAAAGATAGGTCATAAGGAAAACAATTAAGTCCAGAAATACAACAATACCCTACGTTTCGCTGGTTTAGGCTATTGTGTCCACTTCTTCTCTTAGACTTCTCCTAAACGTCCACTCCTCCGTCTTAGTCACTTCGCATATACAGGCCACCTCTGCAACAGCGAGTCTAACTAAGCACTTTACTCAGGGTGCCTCCCTGCTCTCTTTCTCTTAACTAAGTAGTAACGAACCTCCCTTCTGGTAGTTTTACGCTTATTTAACTCATCTATCAGGGCTTGGGAAGCCAGTTTCATATCTGTGAATTATCTTTAAAAGCTCCTATTTCCTACATTGTACAGAACTTCCTCATCTTAACTTTGTATCTGTAGCCTTGAACTATATTTGTGCGACTGAAACCAAGTTGAGGGCTTTTTTCCCCCTGCATTTAGTCAAATCATGTGACATGGTGTGTTAACATGAAAACCTCACAGTTCTGAAGCAATAAGACAACACCCCTAAATGTCACAACTCATATCCTGTTGTTTTATATATAGTTTACAAAGTTAAGAAATTCATCCACAAACTTATTAAAAGCAGTTGTTATATGCAGACAAATATTTAGAAAAATGAACAATAACTGATCAGCATAGAAAGAGGAGAACTTTCATAAAGCAATAGCCTCTACTGCTTTGGACCTTGACAATACCGACATGGTTGAATTAACAGAGCTTCTTTGTCTCCTCTGAACGCTTTGCCACTCTGGTGTCAAGTAGCTAGTCTCTATTTCATCTTCCTGATGGCATGGTCCGGGCCAGCTTAGAGATAGGCATGCCAGGCCCTAGCTGGCAGAGCACTTGAAACTGCTCCTTCTGTCCCAGTTATTCTAGACAAACACAGTGCAGAGGAGAAGCAAGGCCAATGGTGCTGAGGCCCCACACACCTGACTGAGTCACTTCCCAGGACTCCTCAGCGCCAAGTTTCCACTGAAAAATAAAGGGATATTTGGTTGAGGCTAAGTAGGAACCTGAGAGCAACTAATGCAGCCTTCCCCTTCCATGAATGAAGGACTCCTTGCCCTGATTCATCAAGAATACAAGAAAGCTCCTTTACCCAATTTCTTTATTATAGAACAGTCATTTTTAGGATGATAATGGCATTCCTAGGTGTAACTAGGGTCTGAGGTTAATCTTTAAAAACAAGAAAACAACTCATCACCTTTGCTTCTTATCCAACACCGGAGATTGGGTATTAGCAGCACACAGAGTTGGTGATAAAGACCGAAGACACCTTAGAGTGCCATCTATTTACAGAGAAATGGTTTAGTGCTTGGAGAGGTGGAAGAGCTCATTTGAGATCAGCTAGAGGCAGAGTGAGTTCTAAAACTCAGGGCTCTGTCCAGCAGGTGCACACCTCACAGGCTCCCCCTTCACGTCATAACCTAAACTCCAACCATCAGAGACTGGTTCGGGATTTCTCACCCACTACTCAATGCAGTAACATTCTAGCCAGAATATTTTTCTGAATTTGATTTGTTTACTTTCTTCTGGGAGGTGGGAGTGGAAAGTAGAAGGAAGCTGGAAAAGAAAAGGCTGCTTGAAGGTGAGAAGCAGTCCCCTGCTCCCATTCCTACCAGGAATAGTCCTATACTACGGAGATAGACCCTGGAAAGCGGCCATGCTCTCTCTTGGGAGAGGGAAAAGAAAATGATATCTTCTGAACTAGAGCCCCAGAATGCAAAGTTGTAAGAAGGTAGCTCATATTATTGCAGGTAAAATCCAAAGTAGAGAAACAGAGGATGTTTTTTGTGTCCTAATTCTTTACTAATTATCATGCACAGTGACAGAAAAAGGGGGGCACACTTGCTTTAGGAAGGTGATCAGGAGAAGCCTCTCAAAGGGACGATTTAAGCTGAGATTATAACGATGAGAAAAAGTGAGGGTAGAAAGTTCTAGGCAGAGAAGAGTGAAGCTCATCCTGTTTTGTCATGTAATACCATCCCAGCTGTGACCTCTGAGCCTCCAAGCCTAGAGGCTGCATCTCCTGGGTCACTTGGGCCCTCACCTTCCTCTCCATCACAACCATCATAATCCTAAGGGATGTGAGCACCCATACAGACAACCCATCCAATGACTGTGGCCTTCAAGTTCCTGCTCCTCCATATCTCTACTTTTTATCTCACTTCCACTACCTCTGACCTGCCAATGGGAAGACCTCAGTCCCAGGATCACTCCATTTTCTCTCCCCCTTCAAGCCTCCTCCTTTCTTTCCTACTTAGCCTGGACTCCACTACCAAGCAGCTGAACTGCTAATATCTAGTGCTATATACCAAGCCAAACAGAGCTCTAACTCCGGAACCACGCTACACCCAATTTCTCAACTCTTGCACCCAGCTGGTGCTCAGCAGCAGGCTATGCTGCACAGACTGGCACTGCTGTCAACTTTTCTACTCTTGCTTGGGGGTTCTATTGACCCTCCTCTTGAAGCCACCCCCCCCATTTGTACATCATGTACAAATTACGTTGTATTTACAGCCTAAATTCTGAAGTAGGGAGTTTTTACTTGTTTCTAAGTTGTCTACAAGGCACGTGAACAGAGCCTCTAGAATTGCTTGGTGCAATGAGAGCAATTGCTCTTAGATGTTACTTGACTTCAATAAGTCTTTTAAAATGGTATGAACCTAAAAAAAAATCCTTAAACCTTACTAGAAAGAACATGCTTGAAAATCAATTAGAGATGGATTTTACAAATAAAGTAAAAGGTAATAGAGTAAAACTAAAAATTATCCTAGGTAGCTTCAGAGTGAAATATTTTTATTGTTCTCCAGGACTACTTTACCATTCTTGAGCATCTTCCCATAACCAACCTCATCCTTTCTTCTCTCAGCAGATAAAATTACCTTATTACATTTTCATGAAGAAAACAGCTCTCCTGGAAGGCTCTCTTTCAACCACCTCCCACCCATACACTTACTCTTGCCTCCCGTGCTTCAGTCCCAGAGAAGGCCCGTTTGATGTCAATCCTTACACCCATGTCCAGACAGCCACTTCCTTCTCTGTGGGCTCTTTCCCACCAAGAGCTTGTAAACAGGATTCAGTTTCTGCTATCTTGCAATGAGTCTATCTTGAGTCACTCTCTATGATCACACCTCTCTCATCTCTTCAGACACGTTTTTTCTAAGTGTAATCTCACCTTCCATTTACTCCACAACTTACTGCAATCTGGAAACATCTTGTATTAAGGTCATAGTCATCTCTTTAAAAGCCAAATCCTGGAATACATTTTTTAGTCCTCATCTTACATTTGAAAAATTTAAATGATGCCCTCCTGGAAATTTTTGATTCCCTTGACTTCCATACCATCATACTTCTCTCTCTCTAGTCATCTCGTCATGGCCTCCTTGGGAGGCCTCCTCCCCCACCTGCCTTTAGATATGGCTGCTCCCCAAAACCTGACCCTGGCCTGTTCATCTCTTTCTGCACATTCTTCCTGATACCTTTAACATTTCTCACGGCTCATCTACTTCCTCCATGTTAATAGCACCAGCTGGACCTTTTTGAACTTCACAATCATACATCAAGCTGTCTGCTGGATATCCCCAAGCAGAAATCCTAACAGGCAACTCAAATTCATAATGCCTAAAATAAACCACTCCCCAACTCTCCACCATGCCCAAATCGAATTCTTCTCTTAATATGCCCTCTCTCAGGTAATGACATTACCCAACCAGTCACCTGAGCTACAAATCTCCTAATCATGCCTGACTTCTTATCCTCAATCACCCATTTCTGCTAGTTTTAGCCCTAAAGACCTCCCAAACCTATCTCTGTCCCACTTCACTCCCATTTTTACCCCTGCCACAGTCCAGCTTTCATCATTATTCACTTGGACTGTTGCCACAACCTCCTAGGTAGATTCCCTGTCTCCACCCTGGTCCCCTACAGTAAAGTCCAACTGACCCAGCTGGCGATTCACTCTAAGGATTCTAACAGATTCTCTCTAAGGAATCTGTTATCATTCTCCTGCTTAAACTCCCCAATGGCTCTCCATTGCATTAAGGATAAAGTCAAAACCCCTAAAGATAGCACACAAAACCCGACATCACCTGACCCCACCTACTTCCCCAAACCCTTATCTCTGGACACTTCCTACTACTCACTTTATGCATCTAACAGCGACATACACACAGCAGGCAGGCCCTCATCTCACTGCTGCTGCTAACATCAACCTCTCGGCTTGGAAAGTCTTCCTCTATCTTTCCCTCGCTAACTCTAACATCTCATACAACACAGCTAGAGCATCAGGATTTCAGAAAACCTGGTCCATCCCTTCCCAGTCCCACCCTCTCGTCTGGATCTGGCACCCCTCCTCAGGGCTCCTGCAATGCCTTCTCATTTACACTGCAAGGATCATTTTCTGAGCTGTTTTTTCTAACCTCCTTGAGGGCAGGAGCTAGACACCTACTCATCTTTATGTCCCTTATGCCTATTATACACACTAGGCATTTAATTAAGGTTAGCTAAAGTGAAGCCTATAGGAGAGGCACTGCCATTCCTTATCTTACAGATGAAGAAAATGAAGCTCAGAGAGAAGTTACATGACTTTACTTTTATCTTTGGCCCCTGAGCTTTTTATTGGCCTTCTGTTCCCACTGCCTTAATGTCTGTGAACTTTGGTGTTATTGGTCTCAGACACCACTTTGCTGTCTACTATCCTGCAGGTGGTGGTCTTTTGGATGCTGTGCATGGAGTTGCTGCTGATCAAAGCATCAACAACACTGAAGTACTCCCTGTCTTCCAGCAGGTGGCGGTAGGTGGTAATCTCATCCTCCAGTTTGACCTTGATGCTCAGCAGGTCCTCCTACTCCAGGGCCTGGCCCTGCCCGGTCTGCGGTCTGCGCCAGCTCTGACTCCAGGTGCAGCAGGACCCTGTTGAGCTGCTCCATCTGCATGGCATAGCAGGCTTCTACCTCTCAGAGTGTTCTGCAGGCTGGCCTTCAAACTTCTCATGGAGTCCAGGTAGATCTCCAAGAACTAGACTGTATGTTTCAGCTCCATGACCGACATCTCAGCAGCTCTGATCTTAGCTGACTGTGGGGTGACTGCTGGGTGCTCTCCTTAATCTGTGGGGACCAGTACTTGTCCAGCTCCTCTCAGTTCTTCTGAGCCAGCTTGTCATACTGGGCTGGATGGCCACGGTGATCTTGCTGAGGCCCTGAGATTTGGGGTGTCTACCTCCATGGTTAACCCACTGCTGGCAATCTGGGCTTGTGGGCCTTTTGCCTCCTCCTCATGGTCTTCTTCATGAAAAGCAGCTTCTCCTTGAGAGCCTCAATCTCTGTCTCCAGCTGCAGCCGAGTGCCCTTGCAGAGCCCACGTATGTCACTCTCCACAGACTGGTGCATGGCCAGCTGTGTCATACCTGGCAACAGTCATCAGCAACAGACAGGCACTGTCAATCTACAGAGCTACGTGTGCATGGTCCACAGCATTTGCCAAGATCTAAGCCCTCAGGTACTCGATGGTCTTGAAGTTAATGCCTCCAGTCTCTGACCTGGGAGCCCTTCTTCTCCAGGTGTCCCTAGATTGTGCTTTCCAGTCTCTGATTGTCAGTCTCCAGGCTCCTCACTCTGTCCAGGTAGGAGGCCAGGTGGCCATTCAAGTCTTGTGTGGTCTCCTTCTCTGTGTGGGTACCATCCAATTCCACCAGACCCCCGGGCCCTCCAATAGCCAGGCCCCTGGACTCCCAGCTGCCCCAGAAGCTGGTAGAGCTGGACATAGACATCCAGGAGCCCAAGATTCTGGCACCTACATAGATGCTGGCCGTGCTGCTGGTGGGCTGGACAGTGTGGCTGGACAACTGGACAGAGCCCAGGGACTCGTAGTTGGTGGAGAAGGGGGTGGAGCAAGTGGTGAAGTGCATGCTGTCTGGGGAGGAAGGCAAGAAGACAGGACTCAGATTCGGGCCCAGGTTACATAACTTTAAAAGTCACCCAAGGAAAAGTCTGAGAAGGGAACCTAGAATGGAAAAACATACTAGCTAATTTAAAAGTCCTTCTCCAGGGCCGGGCGCGGTGGCTCACGCCTGTAATCCTAGCTCTCTGGGAGGCCGAGGCGGGCGGATTGCTCAAGGTCAGGAGTTCAAAACCAGCCTGAGCAAGAGCGAGACCCCGTCTCTACTATAAATAGAAAGAAATTAATTGGCCAACTGATATGTATATAAAAAATTAGCCGGGCATGGTGGCGCATGCCTGTAGTCCCAGCTACTCGGGAGGCTGAGGCAGAAGGATCGCTCGAGCCCAGGAGTGTGAGGTTGCTGTGAGCTAGGCTGATGCCACGGCACTCACTCTAGCCTGGACAATAAAGCGAGACTCTGTCTCAAAAAAAAATAAAATAAAAAAAATAAAAGTCCTTCTCCTGACAACAGAAGACCTCTCAGAGCTGAGCATGGTGGAAGCAGAGAAGGTGCCTATGTTTTTCCTCCATAGCTCTAGAGCCTAACAAGGTGCTACCTGGTGCACAGTAGGTGCTTAGTAAACATGGGTGGGTTCAGTGTGATTGTAGAGGAAACTCCTGCAATGGTGGGTTTGCTTCTCTCCAGCAGGTGGAGCTACAGCTCCGTGTCATCTCCAGCTACCCTCTGAGTGCCCTGGGAGAAGAGTCAGCCTTTTCCACCCATTCCTTGCCATACTTCTTTTTTCCTTTGAGTCTCACACAAACAAAAAAATCAGGATAAATGTTTTCCATAGAATACTCTGAATGAACATAGATCTGTCTTTTAACTTGTTCAATACCCAGTGCACTTGCATATCTTCTCTGGCCTTTAAAAAAATCTGGGGTTATTTCAGCCAACCTGATTTATCTAATTTGTCAAGTGCTACTCAAATTTCTCTGCCCTTATACGTTCTTCATAGGTCCTTATTATGAAACACATTTAAAACCCAACATGTTTATCATGATATTCCTCTCTATAGCCATACTTTTCCTGGGTCTCTGCCCTATTTCACTTGAGAAAGCATTACTTTAGTTTGCCAACCATCCCTTATTCTGAAACAAAAAAACTTTCAATGTATCCTAACCATTGTCTTAAAGGATTTAGCTTCTGAATAGGATAAAAAAGGACAATTATGGTAAAACAAATTAGTACCACCTCTGAAAATGTAAAGCCCCAAGCAAACTTCATTCTTTACTCAATTTACAATTTCATGGTATTCCCAGAAAACTCAGTGTTTATTGAAACTGTACAAAAGTACTTCATGATCATATCTAAAACAAAGTTAATTTCTATGCTCAAGTAATACACCAGATAATACAAAGCTGTTTTTCTTTCTTTCTTTTTTGTTTTTTTTAAACCAGCACTAAAGTCCCGTGGCTCCATGCTCCATAACATCCGGCATCTCTAGCCCTAGTCTACTTAATGCCTACGGTGGTACCCCTCGCCCCAAACTATCAAGACAACTACAAGTTAACTCACAAGTTTCCAGTTTCTTAGGGAACGGTTCCAGCTCCACTGAGGACTACTAACCCAGAGGATTTCTGAGACCACTAAGTTCCCTAAATGACAAAAAACACTGATTAAAGTACCTAAAGGAACCACTTGTCAGGGTTTAGACTTGACTCATGTTTAATAATATACAACGATCAACACTATTAAAATACTGTAACTAGGCCGGGCGCGGTGGCTCACGCCTGTAATCCTAGCTCTCTGGGAGGCCGAGGCGGGCGGATTGCTCGAGGTCAGGAGTTCGAAACCAGCCTGAGCAAGAGCGAGACCCCGTCTCTACTATAAAATAGAAAGAAATTAATTGGCCAACTAATATATATACAAAAAATTAGCCGGGCATGGTGGCGAATGCCTGTAGTCCCAGCTACTCGGGAGGCTGAGGCAGGAGGATTGCTTGAGCCAGGAGTTTGAGGTTGCTATGAGCTAGGCTGACGCCATGGCACTCACT